TTATATTCTTTTCACCCTTACAAACCCTGTCGTTGTATTCCTGTCTCATATTGTTATTAAAGTTTCGCACGGCATTTGGTTTATGCTGTCCAATACGTGTAATTTTTTTTTTTTGCATAGGAAACGAACCTAAAATAGACAGAATCGATGTAACATGTTGCAAATTGCCATCAATCTTTTGCGCGATTTCCGACGCAGAAGATTAGGGAATATCATGGCAGTACCGTTGATGAAAAACAATTATTAATGCCCTAGGATGTATAACTGATTATTCAGGCACGGGTTTGCGATTCGATGATAGTCATGAAAGATTAACTGGTAACACATGAAGATCGTCTAATAAGAGAATTTAGTGGATATATTACACGGATATTATCTACGGATATACGGAATTAATGTGCATGTTTCACAGATGAACATTACATTTCAATAGTAAATTAATTTTCCAAACAGCATTATGGAACATATCAGAGATCAACGAGACACCAGAACATCATGTGACATTTCACGAAAAAATGACATTGCGTCGTATGTACTACGAATACTTAATTCAGTATCATTTTGAGTGTTTCTGGTAGTATATGTAAATAAAACTTACAAAACAAGTAAGAATGTTGTAAATATTACCATTCGGTCGACACTCATTCTGATATATAGTCTATTACATCGTGTGTAAAACTACAATAAGAGGTTACGCATTACTATCTTTTCTTGGTGCATTTTACCTATATTTTCGCTCCGCACGACCGATACTAAAGTTTTTCACTCACGTTTGCATGACACGATAATTTCCAGTTATACGGTAGTTCTTAGGCGAAATGGCATCTAAAAGTGTGTAATAAATGTTTCAAATTCAATTATGTGCTACATTTAGTAAAATTATTACCATCGGCATGTTCCGTGTTTAAAGTATAGTGTTTTTCCCTACTTTAAATTCAAATCTTGAATATATCGTATGTAATAAACAATAAATAATAATGTAATGAGTTGCACAATTTTCATAACAACTTAATAGTTGACAGGTGAGGCAGGAAATAAAAATCTTAATCATTGCTTTCACGCCTCAACAGAAAATTAATGTCTACCGTTAATGGCACACAAACAATAATTTGAATTAACATTAAAATGGCTGCAATTTTGAAATCATCATCTTAATTGACAATGCAACTGTGAAGGACAATGGGCATGTGCTTCAGGTTAGAATTTTTCAAATATTAAAGTGTGAACGAAATCCTACCTACACTTGTGGTTTATGAATACGTCTTGACTTTTTACCCTAAACGTCCAGATTTTTGGAAAAGAAATAAAAATCATGTAACAACATTTTATAATTTAAAACGTTTTATCGAAGCATCTGTCTAAATTGATATGTGTCCTTGCTAAAATGTTAATGACGTCCTGTCAAAATTTTGTAATGGGAAAAATTTACTTTAGCACTACACACATCTTCATTTTAGCTTATAGGGGCCATGAAAAAAGTAAAATTCGCGAAATCAAATTTTATAATTTTTCGAAAGATATGTACAGGGAATTTTTTATGAAGAAATATTGCATTCTGCATTTGGTGTTTGTCAGATATGACTTTATACGCCTTCAAACAATCGGTTAGGATAGATCTTCGGATGATAGCATTTGTATGCCGGCCTCTCGCTTCCAGTAACTCAAATTGCATTGACGACGTATCCATCTTTGCCCCTAGAATGAATTCGTTGAAAATTCTTCTTCTACGAGATGGCAATAAAAGGCTTTATCGACTTAAAATTTGATCTACGAATTTCCATATTTGTCGTCTCGTGGAAAATCCCTGTCTTGTAAAACATGTTCCTTTTGCAGTTTCAAGTAAGAGTATTTAATGCAAGTGTCGCTCGAGAACAACCGTATCTTAGAAGATTATAACCCCATGTTGTACCGCCCGTCAGGCCAAACCGAAGTTCTCACAGCAAGCATCCGCTGCGGTTATGTAATTACTTATTCCAAGTGCTAAACGACTTGGCAAATAACTTGTTACTTCCTCGCCCCCTTTCGCTTCGAGCTTGGTTCGTTTCCTTTTTTTCCCATACAATTCGTAATTACATTAAACCGTTACAAAATGAAACAAACAATGTGAGAAAATTCCGGCGCTATAAATCCTCGAGCGTGAAAAGAAAGTTAATTAAAATTAAGGAAAAGTTGCAGCCTCGGTTGGAAATCCTTAAAGCAGATAATTTTATGTTCAATGTTCTTAAAACAGTGAAATTTCGTTATTGTTTTATTAGCAATCCAACTTCGCAATCTGTCTTGCTTGCTTAATGTTATAATCACGCCCTTTTCAGCTGGATACGAAACAAAGTTTCGCCGAGATTGTTGGAATTCCGAATGCATACTGTGCTGGGTAGGCTGGTAAAAATTGACAAAGTTTTCAAATTCCACTTGGGCAAAAATTGTTTTGTCACGATATGTGTTTGATGGAAAAAAAAATGAAAATGTTCACTCGTGAAACGAAGTATAAATCGCTTTAAAAAAAAACCTCTTGGTGCTAAATTGGCATATTGAATTAAAATTAGAAGCCGTTTCTTTCCCTCCAACATAGTAAAAGCGGTTTTTGCGATTTCATCCACTTTCACAAATCGACCACGTATTGATATACTTACAATGTACAACTTTATGCTATAAATCTCATTTTTTGAGTAGTAATCTCTAGTAATCTTTATATCCATAATAGAAAATTTCATTCGAGATTGTAGATAATAAACTGTTATTCACACTTTAAAAGATTTCCATGTTCTTACTCCCAGAGTGATAACGATGAAAAGTTTTGTAAAAGTAATAGGGTCATATTTAATGATATCTAACTTCCGTTTTATTAGCAATTTACAGCTCGTCAAATGCAAAACTGCAGCTTTTTACTGCCCGATCGTAATCGAATCCATCGAGCGAATTGCCACTTTCATATTTTCTCAACGTTTCATGACCTCTCCGGCTTCCGTCTGTCTGTCTGTCTGTCTGTATGTCGTCTATATCCATTTTTATTAGACACGTAATTTCTGAAACTACCGGACACATTTTTACTTCCCGAGCGTAAGCAAAGTAAAAAGTAGTCTCCCGTTTCCGTCTGTCTGTCCCGTTTCTCATCTGTGTCAGATGCCGAATTTGGTCCATTCCTTTTTTTTGCATTGGTATAACGCTGTGACTATTTTTCTTTTAAATTAAATTAACTTCTTCGTGACATTCTTTCAATGTATAAACATAAAAAATAAACACTTGGGATTCAGATTGCTATTACCTACTGCTGAAGGACAAGGGGTGTTATTTATGCCTCTAATGATATTAGGCCGCAGAGCTTCATAAAATCAATCTTCTTTGTGAAAAATGTTTTGACATAAGTGAAGGTGAAAAGTTTTTTTTTTAAGAAAATTGGTCGAAGATAATTTACACATAACTTCCCTCGCCTCTGAAGTATAGAACAAGAGAATGCGTTTTCAGCAGATATTCTAAAAGTTTTGCACAGGGAACCTGACGATAGTTTTAGTAGTAATAATAAATCTAAACTATAATACCTACGTATTTTTAATATTTTCTTAATTTAGTTTGTGTACAAATTGCTTTCATCGGAATGTATCGGTAAAACGAGCTGTTTAAATTGTCAATCGATGATATCAAATATAACACAAAAATAAACATACAATATAATAACAAATTTTAGCCCTTGTTGCATATTATCGTTTTTAGACTATCTAATTTAATACCACGCTATTTTGTCAAGTATTCTTCTGGAAAATGTACATCGTAAATGATCAAATTAAATGTCATGGGAAAATATCGACCACTATCGCACTATACTTAAATTTGCTTTGTATACGGGGCACTCTTTCAATCGTTCTTCGGCCACATTGCTTGCGAACGCCGGGAAAAATTTAATGGATCTGAAAAAGGAGTTCAAGTTCAGTCGTCGTCCTTGAACGTTGTATTGATTACATTGAAAATGAGTATCGACACAACAAGATACTAAGTAAGTTTAGACCATAAATGTTTAAACTTGCTAAGTTTGTACACTTATTTTTAATACTTGGGAAAAGATTAAGATTGAGGCTTTTAAATAAACAATCTATAAAAAACACTTTTTTTAGTAAGAATTTTAAATTAAGAGGAGCTAACTTTGGCTGTTATGGAGTTTTCAATACATTGTTAGCATGTAATATCTCCATTACTGACAAACTTGTTATGGAATTTTGCGGCTTTATATCTTGTGAATGAATGGAAATATTGAAATATGACGCACATATGGCGTCGGCGTCGCAATGTTTTAAAATGTCACGGATATATTTTTTTACAGATTTCAATAGACCGGTAAATTCCAGATACTTATAATGGTATACAACACTTAGATATTTATTTAATTGCCAGTGAATAAAAAAAATATCTAAATGTTCCGGTAAAAAAATATAGGTTGCAATTTAAAAAAACATAGGTTTGAGTTGCGCCCCTGACGCGTATTTGTGTCATATTTGCAATGTATTCAATTAAGCTTTCCTTTCCAAGCTGGGAACAATGGCGTTTACATAATATCAATATTTCTATCCGTTTTAGAAATATAAACAGAAGCTCCTTTTTACTGTGTCTCATTTCCGACAAAAAAATGTGATGGAAAATTTCACCAAAATTTTGTAAAGAAAATGATAATAAGCTGCCATTGAATTATATAGAGGAAGCTGTGGACAGGTTTTATTTAAAATTTTAAAACAATATATCTATTAATAGGTACGCCAAACACAGCCACTGGCCTTAAGTTTAACGAATTCAAATACCCATTCTCTTACAGCAGTCGACAAGAAATGTTGTTGGAGACGAGCTCAAAATGGCAATTGTTGTTCACTGAAAACTCTCATTGTTAAATACGACAGTAAAATCCCGCTTTCTCTATCAGTTACGGAAAAAGTTTTTTTAATTATAAGAATAATATATTGTCGAAAAGTCTTACGCGAATTTTTTTTCATCGATTTACCGCCTCCATTTATTTCCAGACGCCCCGGTGTGCAAACAGGATCGAGAAGAGTTATATGGCGCGCTGAAGCAAGAGACCGTGACTTTACGCTGTCAGGTCGATGCCAATCCAGCCATAGTGACCTTCCACTGGACGTTCAACAACTCCGGGGACCTGACCGAGGTTCCGGCCAACAGGTTCACAAACGAGGTCTCTTCCTCCCGGCTCAACTACACGCCCGTGTCGGACCTGGACTATGGCACCCTCCTGTGCTGGGGCGAGAACGAAGTGGGTCACCAAAAAGTACCCTGCGTCTTCCAAGTAGTTATAGCAGGTGAGAACATTTTCCGACATTGCTTTTAATTACATACCTGACTGGGGGTCTGTGTACCTTTTCATATTTCTGTCTAACGACAACTAAGAGTGAAACACGTGCTTTGAGATTCTCGCGCTCTCGGACTGCAAAATCAGGCTGAAGTTTCTTTGTTTTCCCTCAGCGCAGTACGGGGAATGGAATCGGACCAAGTTACTTATAAAAAACGACCTATCATTATCAAGAAAACCACTTTTTAAGTTCAGGTCGATTTGATACTCCCTAGTCGAACATGTGTCTTTCGAGACAGCTGATCAAGAAAGCAACAAGCAAGAACGACAGAGTGGCACTTCTAAACGTTAAAGTTAATCAAATGAATTAATGAGAAGACGAAAGTTCGACAGAGAATTTTTGCACTGTTCTGCTGAAACGTTTTATTAAAGTATTTGCTATAGGCATAGCATTTTACTAAAATCTTTTCTCGTGTGTTATGGTTTTAAATCAATTGAGAAAGTTAGTCACTCGCTGATGACTAAACTATAAACTTTGTAACACACTAGTATAATAAATCACTATTAAATACTGTTCTATAACCATTAAATCAATATTAGTACCTACTCGACCAAAGTTTCAAAAAAAGTTAATAAATGACATCTCAAGAATAAAGAGTATATCTCCTACAATATTCACCATGTTCATGATAATTCTAAACCGTACAAAAAGTTTTACATCAATCTAGTGTGTTATTTCTATTGAATTATAAAATTTTGTAGTGAAATTGTGATACTTATCTTAAACCCACATGCGTAAAATTAAAGATGCAGCATCAAAATTTTGATAGAAATACATTATTTTTAAAACATATTTCAAATGAAAACAAATAATCCAATAGGTTTGGGTGGAGTCCCTAGATATATTTTAGAAGGAGAGTTGTGACACGGACATTTTCTGTCTCTCTCTTTTTTACATGACGGTCAGTTATGAAATAGCTATAGTAATTGCTCTCTTTATCTAATTTAACTCATTTTTAATTGCACTTCGAATTTTACGTTTTACTTTTCCTAAATAAATTCTAATTCGGTATAAACAAAATATATATATATTTATAATTTAATGTTTTACTGTATGACAAGAAGGAGAAAAATTGTTTTTAACAAGAAAATAATTAAAAACATAGTATTTATAGTACTTCAAAAAATCAAAATTCTTTTCTGGAAGATGTTTGCGTACACTTAGACAAATTTGCTCCAATCTTAAAAAAATTGTAAACGACGATTCCGCAGGAAAATTTAGACATCCTGGACGATATTCCTTTAATCGAACCAATGTTGTAAAAGGCTTTATTAAATTATTATCTGTTAATAAAAATGTTAAATATGTTTGGCATTTCAATTTTTTCTTTTCAGAATATATCCCGCCAAATTATGTAAACCATTTTTATGAGTCTTGTTTAATTCAGGACTGTAATCATTCCAATTATTGGGAAGTGGACACTGTATCATTTGAATTTTGTTAGTGTTCGTGTTACCAAAATTGCGTAAGTCACTATTGTGTTCTGTATTACGTAGTAGAAATAAGTCACTATTTAATAAATTGGAATCAATTTCATTTAAATAACTAGCTTCCGAAATTTGTATGCCAAAAAAGTTAAAAACATATATTTTTTTATTTCTCTGCCTTATAAAGCGTTGGGAATTTTGTGACGAAATCTCATTGGACTCAATACATTTTCAAGTACACCTTGAGAAAAACGCGATGTATACGCGTATTTGTATTTTTTAACGTTTAACAAAAATAATTTTGAATATCTAAGATTGTTTGAGTTGTTAATATGTATAACTCCACTCTGTATTGGTTTCCAGTAAACCTTTGTACCAATTTTAATGTAAGTGACAAAGCCTTGATCAGAGGCTCTTCTTACATTTATAACCGCTGAATTCCATCTACCATTAATTACACATACGCAACGTTTTAGGGTCGAAAGTGACCCTCATTTCCACCTCTTGGGTGGAAAGTGACAGTTACTTCAATCTCTTGGGTGGAAAGTGACAGAGAAGTGACATACGTTAGTTTCCACCCTTGAGATTGAATTAAAGTGTGCAATAGCTCACTTCCAAACTTTTAAAAAGTATGACAGTTTCACATTACTGACCGATTGTGCCTTGTCTATTCTTTTTGTCCTTTTCGTCCTTTTCGTCCTTTTCGTCCTTCTCACCGTTCTCGCCCTCCGCGTCCGTTTTATCTTATTCGTCCTTTTCGTCCTGTTCGTCCTATTCGCCCTTTTCGTCCTTTTCGTCCATTTTATCCATTTTATCTTTTTTATCCTTTTTATCCTTTTTATCTTTTTATTACTTTCTATCCTTTTTATACTTTTTATCCTTTTTATCCTTTTTATCCTTTTCGTCGTTACCTAAACCCAGATTATTAGATCTCGATGTTAACAAACAGAACCAATTTACGTATTGCACCCACGAACCAAGCTGTTGTTAGGGCATTTTTGTTTGCCTTATCTACTTCATCTACTAAAAAAACTAGTGCACATTACAAGTAGATGGTATGCATTTGAAACTTTCTTGTATTAAAATGATTTAAATTCAGTAACTCTGGCGTTAATTTTGGCGCTAATTGCAAATCTAAATCACCTAAATTTTTGATATGCGAAACATTTACAATATTTGTGCACAAGTGGTATTTTTCTATTATATCAACAGGCAACTTGATTATTTCTTATACAAATGTGGAGCGTCAGCAACAAAATAAACATTCTTACTTTGGTCATTTGGGTTAACTATTTATTGAATTTTGGAACTGCTTTTTCTACTTTTGATACCAAGAATTTTCCACATTGTTCGCTTGGAAGCGCCCATGTCTGAAGTTACATTAACTAAATTTAAACCGACTCAATCAGACATAACGATAATTCAACAAGTCAAACGATTTTATGATGTTCGACTTAATTGTGTTAGTCTTCTCATCTGAACATTTCTTGGTCTAACTAGGTAGTACTGCACCGCTACTACTTCCACGCACAAATTTTTAAACTGATCACGTCCTCTGAATAACCGCCTCATATTTTTTACTCTAGTTGGCAGTACGCTTCATTAAGTTTAAAGTGAGCGTGCAACAATATTTGGAAGGGCTGTTCTTGCACGTTAGGGTGGGTGGGACCGAATGTTCAGATGAGAATACTAGCACAATTGACGTCGAACTTGATAAAATCGTTTGACCTGTTTAAATGTGTAAACGTCTTCTCATCTGAACATTTCTGTATCTAAGTAGGCAGACGTTTAAAAAAGGTTGTTGCGCAACTAAAAAGTATACATATATACGTATACAAAAAAAACTAATAAGGGTATATAATGTTTATGAAAAGGTCAACAACAAAATCAAAAATTGCAGTTACCTTAGAGAAAACGTCAACAACGCGTGAACTCGTACCAACCTCAATTTATAAACGATAAAATTTCTAGTATTCGAACGTGTTTCTATGTTAACTCGTTGTCGAAGGTTTGTCAGTTAACTAGCGTCCGCAAATTGTTTATACAACGGTGTCACAAATAATCCAATGTTGACAAGCTGTTAAAGTTGACAGACTGTTAGCTGACCTGCAACTTGACATGCTTTTATACAACCGGGCCTAAGTTTTCTAGAAGGGAAACAGTTAATTTGACACTTTTCTTACACTCCTTAGAGTTTCCAAGAATAAGGATATCATCAAGATATACTAAACAAAGTACGCCTCTTTTCCGAGAAAAGCGAGGACGGGCTTAGTTAGCTTTATAAAAGTAAATGGAGCTATGGACAACCCAAATGGCATGCAAGTGAACTCAAAATAGTTGTTTTCAAAATGGAAACGTAAAAGTATTCTACACTTTCGCCTGACAGGCAATAAAAAATATGCATCCTTCAGATCAATTGATGCCATATAACAATTTTTAAACATTAATCGCATTACACTGCGTATGGTTTCCATTTTAAAGGGGGGGAGGGTGTAAATTTTTTTATTTAGATGCTTCAGGTTTAAAATAAAGCGATAAGACCCATTCGGCTTTTGAACGAGAAAGAAGGGTGACAAGAATTGACCCTTATAAGGCCTACAGGGAACTACTACCTGTTGTTGCATATGTTTCTTAATACACTCTCTAAGGGTTGATAATACTGACTTCCCCATATGTAGGTAAGAAGAGCCCTTCCAAATATTGTTGCACGCTCACTTTAAACTTAATGAAGCGTAGCGCCAACTAGAGTCAAAAATAGGTGGCGAGGTCGCGGTTCTTCAGAGGACGTGATCAGTTTAAAAATTTGTGCATGGAAGTAGTACCGGTGCAGTACTACCTAGTTAGAGAAAGAAATGTTCAGATGAGAAGACGTTTGTACAATTACTTTTACAATTCTAGATAATGCGTCTGCGTCTGTGGAATCCACAGTAAACTGATACAATTTGCTTCCATGGTAAGCTTACACTTCTTAACCTAAAAACCAAAACACGTGTAACGACTTCAATTAAATTTGTTAATATTGTATTTTCCAAAAGTAATGAGAAACCTGGACAGTGTTATTTACCTGGATTGATTGCTGATTCGTCTAAAAATAAACAATCTCTTTCATAGTCATTCAAATCTTGAATGTTAAATAGGTAAAAATTTCATGTAAAAAACTGCGTGCTGAATTTTACGGCATAGAGTTCTACTTGATATTCTGACGTTCCACAGACAAATTTTATTTTAAAGACTTCTTCTATTGTTTTGTTGTTCTATCGTTTTAGTTGTTTACGTTTAACACTTAAATTTTGAATTTGATTTTCGTTGAAAATCCCTTTTGTAATTTCAAACCCGCTCGACACAAAAAACACACAAGTTCATCATCAGCATTTTTACATGAAAATGTAAAATTAAATTCCTTTGAATTGTTGAAAATTGAATGCAGTTTCTAAGTTGTACGTACCATTTTAACAGAAAAATTGAAGTTAAGATATTTCTTTACAATTTAATAGATTTTTTAACATATTTGCGACAGAAAAT